TCTCTAGGAAGCGGAATGACAATTAAATGAACTGATACACACGTCGGTAAGGGGTTCAGAATTGGGCACGAAAACCTCAAGAAACCCACACTCTGTCTTTTAGATACATTTAGGCTTGGTCACACGTTCCCTTGTTAGTGTCCATACAGACCCATGACTTGTTCCCCTGTTAGTGTCCATACAGACCCATGACTTGTTCCCTTGTTAGTGTCCATACAGACCCATGACTTGTTCCCTTGTAAGTGTCCATACAGACCCATGACTTGTTCCCCTGTTAGTGTCCATACACTCCCATGACTTGTTCCCCTTTTAGTGTCCATACAGACCCATGACTTTTTCCCCTGTTAGTGTCCATACACTCCCATGACTTGTTCCCTTGTAAGTGTCCATACAGACCCATGACTTGTTCCCCTGTTAGTGTCCATACAGACCCATGACTTGTTTCCTTGTTAGTGTCCATACAGACCCATGACTTGTTCCCTTGTTAGTGTCCATACACTCCCATGACTTGTTCCCCTTTTAGTGTCCATACAGACCCATGACTTTTTCCCCTGTTAGTGTCCATACACTCCCATGACTTGTTCCCTTGTAAGTGTCCATACAGACCCATGACTTGTTCCCCTGTTAGTGTCCATACAGACCCATGACTTGTTCCCTTGTTAGTGTCCATACAGACCCATGACTTGTTCCCTTGTTAGTGTCCATACAGACCCATGACTTGTTCCCTTGTTAGTGTCCATACAGACCCATGACTTGTGCATTTATGAACTGAGCAGTCTGAGCGGATCGCAGCTTTATGCCTCCTCAACGATCTTTTCTTATCATCATCAGTGTTTCATCACCATCACCATTGTCATTCTCAAGTGCCTTGCCAGTTTATATTGGCTAACTTTATCTCCAAATCTCTATTTTGCCTGACCCTTCTGCTATCAAGACGGCATAATATAACTGATTTCTGTTTGCTGATAAGAAAGGCAAATCAGATGCGTATGGGTGTCTTTGTCAAACGACGACTAAGTTATAATCAAGAAGATAACACACCCCTTTGTTTATGAGGAACTAAAGAGATATCTAACCGATCTGTTGAATTTGTGCTCTGACAGAAACACGCAGATATCGTATATATATGCGTTGATTTCAACAGTGGTATCGATAGCCGACAGTCCAGAAAGCAATGGCAAACTACTGGACGTAAATTTGCCTAGAAAAACCTCAACAGCCAAAAAACGATGGGGCTATTTCTGCAACGTCCTGCAAGGAATACGCAACTAACTTTAACTCACCAGAGGGAGTGATTGAGAATCAAATAGACCACCTCTGTATAAACAACAGATATAGAAGCTCTCTGATTGATGTCCGAGCATACAGAGGAGCAGATGTGAGTAGTGACTACATCTTATATAGGAAAATGAGAGCTTAAAAACAGCTGCCCAAAAACATGTACAACGAAGAATAGACAGTCAAAGACTTTGCAGTGTAAAGTAATAGGAGAGTTCCAGCTCGAGCTGAAAAAACAGATTTGAAGCACTTGAAGTAGAGGGTGATCAGTGTATTGATGAAAACTGGAATGATGTATCAAGACCACAATTCTAGATGCAGCAAGGATTAGGGCAGGACTAAAGAAGCATGATATAAAACTATGGAAAGTGACGACATATGACAGTGTATTCGGGAAAGAAAGGCATTGATATTTGCTAAATACAAAAACAGTGAAACAAGAAATCAAAGGTAAGGAAGATTACAATAAAAAAGGTAAACTACTCAAAAGCTGTGCTAGGTGAGATAAGAGAGTATTTGTTGATTGACCAGCTATAGACGGAGAGCAGGCAGCTAAGAGAGGAAATAGTAAAATACTATGCAGTACACTAAAACAGTTACCCACACTATGAGGTGTTCCCATTATTAGTAAGGACGGTACAATTCTTACAAATGATACTGAACAGAAGAGGAGATGGACAGAACACTTCCAAGAAATCTTACCTAGACTTAGTCCACATGAACTAATGAATTTTGACAAAGAAGCAAAAATGACCATATTATGAATAAATGTAGGACATTTAAATGACATGGAAATCAGGGAGACAATCAGTTCAGTAGCAAATAAGGCAGCAGAAGATATTACTGCATATATGCTCCAGGCAGCAGGTAATGAAATTTGACGATATTACTGCATACATGCTCAAGGCAGCAGGTGATGATATTACTGCAGAAATGCTCAAGGCAGCAGGTGATGATATTACTGCATACATGCTCAAGGCAGCAGGTGATGATGATATTACTGCAGAAATGCTCAAGGCAGCAGGTGATGATATTACTGCATACATGCTCAAGGCAGCAGGTGATGATATTACTGCAGAAATGCTCAAGGCAGCAGCTAATGATATCACTGAATACATGCTCAAGGCAGCAGGTGATGATATTACTGCATACATGCTCAAGGCAGCAGGTGATGATGATATTACTGCAGAAATGCTCAAGGCAGCAGCTAATGATATCACTGAATACATGCTCAAGGCAGCAGCTAATGATATCACTGAATACATGCTCAAGGCAGCAGGTGATGATGATATTACTGCAGAAATGCTCAAGGCAGCAGCTAATGATATCACTGAATACATGCTCAAGGCAGCAGGTGATGATATTACTGCAGAAATGCTCAAGGCAGCAGGTGATGATGATATTACTGCAGAAATGCTCAAGGCAGCAGGTGATGATATTACTGCATACATACTCAAGGCAGCAGATGATGTAACCATAAACCAGTGAAAGATTTGTTTTATAGAATATGAGCAGAGAAAAAAAATAGTCCTAGAAAGGAAGAAATTGTAAAAATTTCAAAGAAAGGTAATTTTACTGATGTAACAACTGTGAGAGGAATTACTCTGTTGTCAGTAATGTCAATGGCTTTTTGTAAAATAGTTCACAGTAGAATTAAAGAGATAGAGGTCAAAATCCTGACAGGGGAACACGCAGGCTTTCCACCTGGAAGAGGCTGCTTAGATCAAATATTCACTCTGCGACATATTTTTGACGAATTTGCATTTATATATATATATATTAAAAAAAAAAAAAAATGAAAAGCCTTATTTTAAATTTCATAGACTTCTAAGAGAGCTTTTGACAGTTTACATAGACGATATCTATGGGTAATTTTGAAATGCTATGGCATATTAATAAAAAAAAAAATAAGTATTATAAATTCAGTGTATGAATGTTCAGAGTGTGCAGTGCGAACAGACGATGGTCGAAGTAATTGGTTTGAAGTTGACACCGGAGTGAAACAGTGATGCTTTTTACCCCCCCCCCTCCCCCTGCTGTTTAGCACAACCATTGACTGAGTGATGAAAAATTTTCTTTTGGAAACAATGACATTGATTGGATGGACAACACTTAGTTGGAAGATGTCGATTTTACTGATGGTACTGTGCTGCTAAGTAAAAACAGAAATGTCATGCAAAGGAAAAAAGATGATTTAGCAAATATAGCATCAAGGGTTGGACTTCAAATAAGTTATGTAAAGTTATGTAAATTATGTAAGTTATGTAAAATGAAGACACCAACAACAGATCAAGCAGATGTAACACTAGAGACAAAAAAAGTTAAGGTAACAGATCTATTTATTTTTTTAAATAGTAGTTTTGATAGTGAGGGAAATACAAAGACAGAAATTATAATGCATTAGCAAGGCATCAGCAGCTTTTAATAGCATCAGCAGCTTTTAATAGCTTCAACAAAATAGGGAACTCTAAACTGTGTTGTTTCAACATCATGTTAATTATTTTCAATTCTAATGTTTTAGTTTTAACATTTGCAAGTTTGAGAGCCACTAAAGACATGAAACGTATGTCAAGTGCATTTAAAAACACATGACTGAGGAAAGTAATGAAAATAAAATGGGATAATTTCAAAAGGAGTTAAGAAATGAGAGAAATGTCTGGGTAGCCATTAGCATCAACAGTTATAAGACACAGAAGATGGGATGGCGCTTTATAAGACACAGAAGATGGGATGGTGCTTTATAAGACACAGAATATGGGATGGCGCTTTATAAGACATAGAAGAGGGGATGGATCTTTATAAGACACAGAATATGGGATGGCGCTTTATAAGACACAGAAGATGGGATGGTGCTTTATAAGACATAGAAGATGGGATGGCGCTTAATAAGACATAGAAGATGGGATGGCACTTTATAAGACACAGAAGATGGGATGGCGCTTTATAGGACACAAAAGATGGGATGGTGCTTTATAAGACACAGAAGATGGGATGGTGCTTTATAAGACACAGAAGATGGGATGGTGCTTTATAAGACACAGAATATGTGATGGATCTTTATAAGACACAGAATATGGGATGGATCTTTATAAGACACAGAAGATGGGATAGTGCTTTATAAGACACAGAAGATGGGATGGCACTTTATAAGACACAGAAGATGGGATGGCGCTTTATAAGACACAGAATATGGGATGGATCTTTTTAAGACACAGAAGATGGGATGGCGCTTTATAAGACACAGAATATGGGATGACTCTTTATAAGACACAGAATATGGGATGGATCTTTATAAGACACAGAATATGGGATGGCGCTTTATAAGACACAGAATATGGGATGACTCTTTATAAGACACAGAATATGGGATGGCGCTTTATAAGACACAGAATATGGGATGGCTCTTTATAAGACACAGACAATGGAATGTCATTTTATGAGACACAGAAGATGGGATTGCTCTTTATAAGACACAGAAAATGGGCAGGCGCTTTATAAGACACTGACAATGGGATGGTGCTTTATAAGACACAGAAGATGGGATGGTGCTTTAGAAAACACAAAAGATGGGTTAGAGCTACAATGGCCCCATCCTAAACAGAAACCAGCAGAGAATCACCAAGCAGTACTAACATGAGAAATAAAGGCATAAGGGAGGCGAGCATATTCGACTGATTGCACAGGATGTCGACAAATAGACTGCCAACCCTTTGTGAGATACAATGGCACAACAAGATCATGAAATATTGAACATATATATACATAATATTCAGTATTTCATACATCTATATTCAGTATTTCATAAACACACTAATGTATCATATACATACATATTTCATAAACACACTATGTATCATAGTATATTCATATTTCAACACACTAATGTATCATACATACATCTATATTAAGTATTTCATAAACACACTAATGTAGCATGCATACATATATATTCAGTATTTCATAAACACACTAATGAATCATACATACACCTATATTCAGTATTTCATAAACACACTAATGTAGCATACATACATCTATATTCAGTATTTCATAAACACACTAATGAAGCATACATACACCTATATTCAGTATTTCATAAACACACTAATGTAGCATACATACATCTATATTCAGTATTTCATAAACACACTAATGAAGCATACATACATCTATATTCAGTATTTCATAAACACACTAATGTAGCATACATACATCTATATTCAGTACTTCATAAACACACTAATGTAGCATACATACATCTATATTCAGTATTTCATAAACACACTAATGTATCATACATACATCCATATTCAGTTTTTCATAAACACACTAAAGTATCATACATATATCTATATTCAGTATTTCATAAACACACTAAAGTAGCATACAAACATCTATATTCAGTATTTCATAAACACACTAAAGTAGCATACAAACATCTATATTCAGTATTTCATAAACACACTAATGTATCATAGTTACATCTATATTCAGTATTTCATAAACACACTAATGTAGCATACATACATCTATATTCAGTATTCCATAAACACACTAGTGTTTCATACAAACATTTATATTCAGTATTTCAATCAAGGGCAGCTTTTACAGTAAAGAATGGTTGACTGTAATGGATCACTTATATTGTCTGTATCTTGTTTTGGTAGTACACTCCATCAGACCGCTGTTCGTTCATGTCTTGATGCCGCCCCACTACTTGTATTCTCGTCTATTTTGCTTTGGACGTTTCCTCCAATATAGTTTCTGAATTGCTGGAAGTAGCAATGAAATTAATACATTTACACCTCAGTTGTGGAGGGAGATGAAATTACACAGTCAAAGCAAACACAAGTAAAACGCAATTAGCATAACATCTTTTTAATAATACACAAGTAACAGCTGGAAATACCACGTGAACACAGTTAAGTGCTCAACAGCGCGGAATAGCTTATTAGATCGGAAAGATGCATTCGCCCACCTTCATTCTCTCAGCTGATGCTTTTAGTTCCTATATGTTTAATTGTCTTTATTGGCATTGATTCCTGTCTTGTGTGACAGCGTCACTCCTTTCCGGGACTTGTCATTTATCTGCATATAAACACTTTTAATTCACCCGCACAGAGGAGCTGCAAATAATCTTTAGGTGTCGACCTTCCATTGTTCGCAGTAGCTAGTAACAATCGTGTTTGTTGTTAGGAGGTAACTTAGCACAACACAAACTTAGATTATACAGCTCTTCAGACGGCGAGGAAAAGACGCGCAAAATACGACCGAAAATTTCGATTTTATCAACCATGAAACTGAACTGATTACACATGACAGACGGAAATGGAGGCATAGATTACGAGCCCTGTGTGACATATAATGCATGCAAAAATTATTGAAAAAGTTACTACTTGATATCAGTTTTACTGCAGAGATTCCCATTTTCATCTCCTCTTTATTGTTTTGTCCAATTAAGACTGTGGATACTTCAATCTTTATGCCTTTTATATATATATATCTTCTGCGTCCTTGTCTCTGATTTTATCTCCGTATGATCAAGTAGCTAGCCTTCTCTGAAGGTTGTTCTCGTCCCAGTAGACAGTCTCAGACCTTAGAATAACTGCCGGAGTAACAAGAATGGACTGGATTTAAACTGAAGAAATGATATTAATTGGACTGAACCACTTAATCAGTTCAGTAAAGGGCAACATATGAGATAGTTTGGTCATCTGACGAGAATGCCCTGGTACCAGCTGCCAGAAAGAATTACGGTGAAGATTTATAATGAACACAGAGCAAAGGAAAGGCTACACAAACCATTGCACGACGGCATCATAATAGCTTGAAAGAAATGAAGATCAGCGTATGTAGCGCATTATGAAGAAGATCCCACAGAAGGCCCTACCATATCTCCCTCCCCCACCCTTCTCTTTTTTCATTCCCGCCAATATAAAAAAATAAAAAACATTGATGAAGTACCTTTCGACCACCATCCATTTCCTCTGCCTCACGCGCCTTTATGCCAGAATATCTTGTGTCCGTTATCGTGCTTATCAAGTCAATCTTTGTTTTCCATACAGCATACTATCAGTTGCTGTAAAGTAAAGGAGCCCTTCTCATACCATTGGCGAATCGTATAGATCCTGTTAGATACAATGTTAGCTAATTTATTGTATATCTACTTCAGTGATATCATATACCATCTGCTGTGTTGTCTACTTGAGTGAAATCCTATACCACTTACTTTATTTTCTGTATACTTCACTGATATTATATAGCAGCTACTTTATTGTCTATTTACCTAATCCTATAGCATCTACATTATTGTCTGTCTACTTCAGTGATATGCTTTATTGTCTGTCTACTTCAGTGATATGCTTTATTGTCTGTCTACTTCAGGGATATGCTTTATTGTCTGTCTACTTCAGTGATATGCTTTATTGTCTGTCTACTTCAGTGATATGCTTTATTGTCTGTCTACTTCAGTGATATGCTTTATTGTCTGTCTACTTCAGTGATATGCTATACCAGCTACCTTATTGCTGATCTACTTCAGTAGTATTCTATACTATCTACTTTATTGTCTATGAACTTTCTATTAAAGTAGTGGTATAATAGCTCACTGATAGCTGCTGCTCATTCATCTTCATTTCGCCCACAAACAGTGACAACATTTAGTTAACGTGTTTCTTCTTTTGGATTTCAAGTGTCGTAGAGACACGTATCAATCTCTTGATATTTATTTTTTGCTATTTTTAGCTACAGTATAGCTGACATCGGCTTTGGCTCTCTCAGACCCCGGGATTTCACTGCATAAAAATAAGTTTCTATTTGGATCAATGCATCCCGTACTTTGTCTCTTGTGTTTCTCAAATAGTTGTATTTTTGTTATAACTTTGCAAAATTATTTTCTTCGACAGCCTCTCTACTTAGTTGACTTGGTGTATTTTTGATGACCAGATTCCATAGGCCACACGTTTCAGTTTCTTCCACATTAGACCAGTCTTCGTTCTTTTACCACTGTCTGCATGAAACAAAACGGGTACTACCCACACGAGATTGTAGCCTTAAAAAGTGACACCCTGTGATTCATGGAGCCACTTTTAGATGCTACCAAGTGGGGCTAATCTCGAAAAACCGTGTGTCACATTTGTGTGTGTGTGTGTGTGTGTGTGTGTGTGTGTGTGTGTGTGGGGGGGGGGGGGGGGGCAATTGTTGCTATCCTGCTGTTAGGGAGTAACCTGCAGTTAGGGAGTAAAGTAACATGCAGTTAGGTAGTATCCTGCAGTCAGGGAGTAACCTGCATCTAGGAAATAACGTGCATTTAGGGAGTAACCTGCAGGTAGGGAGTACCTGCATTTAGGAAGTAACCTGCATTTAAAGAGTAGCCTACAGTTAGGTAGTAACCTGCGGTTAGGGAGTAACCTACAGTTAGGTAGTAACCTGCGGTTAGGAAGTAGCCTACAGTTAGGAAGTAACCTGCAGTTAGGTAGTAACCTGCAGTTAGGTAGTAACCTGCGGTTAGGTAGTAACCTGCGGTTGGGTAGTAACCTGCGGTTAGGAAGTAGCCTACAGTTAGGTAGTAACCTGCGGTTAGGAAGTAGCCTACAGTTAGGTAGTAACCTGCGGTTAGGAAGTAGCCTACAGTTAGGTAGTAACCTGCAGTTAGGAAGTAACCTACAGTTAGGTAGTAACCTGCGGTTAGGAAGTAGCCTACAGTTAGGTAGTAACCTGCAGTTAGGAAGTAGCCTACAGTTAGGTAGTAACCTGCGGTTAGGAAGTAGCCTACAGTTAGGAAGTAACCTGCAGTTAGGTAGTAACCTGCAGTTAGGTAGTAACCTGCAGTTAGGTAGTAACCTGCATTTAGGGAGTAACCTGCAGTTAAGTAGTAACCTGAATTTAGGGAGTAACCTGCAGTTAGGTAGTAACCTGCAGCTAGGTAGTAACCTGCAGTTAGGAAGTAACCTGCGGTTAGGAAGTAACCTGCAGTTAGGTAGTAACCTGCGGTTAGGAAGTAACCTGCAGTTAGGTAGTAACCTGCGGTTAGGTAGTAACCTACAGTTAGGGAGTAACCTGCGGTTAGGTAGTAACCTACAGTTAGGAAGTAACCTGCAGTTAGAGAGTAACCTGCATTTAGGGAGTAACCTACAGTTAGGGAGTAACCTGCGGTTAGGTAGTAACCTACAGTTAGGTAGTAACCTGCATTTAGGGAGTAACCTACAGTTAGAAAGTAACCTGCAGTTAGGTAGTAACCTGCATTTAGGGAGTAACCTACAGTTAAGGAGTAACCTGCAGTTAGGTAGTAACCTGCGGTTAGAAAGTAACCTACAGTTAGGAAGTAACCTGCAGTTAGAGAGTAACCTGCGGTTAGGAAGTAACCTACAGTTAGGAAGTAACCTGCAGTTAGAGAGTAACCTACAGTTAGAGAGTAAACAACAGTTAGGGAGTAACCTACAGTTAGGAAGTAACCTACAGTTAGGGAGTAACCTACAGTTAGGGAGTAACCTGCAGTTTTGGAGTAATCTACAGATAGGGAGTAACCTGCAGTTAGGGAGTAATCTACAGATAGGGAGTAACCTGCATTTAGTGAGTAATCTGTAGTTAGTGAGTAACCTACAATTAGGCAGTTACCTGCAGGTAGGGAGTAACCTACAGTTAGAGAGTAAACTGCAGTTAGGGTGTAACCTACAGTTATAGAGTAACTTGCAGTTAAGGAGTAACCTACAGTAAGGGAGTAACCTACAGTTATGGAGTAACCTACAGTTAGGGAGTAACCTACAGTTAGGGAGTAACCTACAGTTAGAGAATAAACTGCAGTTAAGGAGTAACCTACAGTTAGGAAGTAACCTACAGTTAGAGAGTAACCTACAGTTAGGAGTAACCTACAGTTAGGAAGTAA